TTCTACCCTTTATTAAAGATGTATGTCTGATGATGATTGAGGAGATTCAAAGCAGGGCGAAATGTTTCCTTATAGGACTAAGAATACCTTCTCTTCTTCTTCTAAATACAATGTAAAATCTATTTTTAAAAGGCACTCCTCTTCTCTGCCAGACCTGCTAAACCAATTATTTGGGAAAATAATTAGACCACATGTCAATACCTCATCCCAATTAAGGTAGAGTAGGAATCAGACATGCACCGAGTCCGGACTGCGGTGCTTCCTATTGATTCTCCACTAATGCCAGGCATTTGTCTGAGGCTGGTGTACTTCCACTGTCTGTCACTCCGTCAACAAGTGCTGTAATCAAGTGTGCAGATAGAGCCAGAAACAAGCCACGAACATCACAAACAATTACTTTTTTCTGTGTGTGACATGAAGATTGATCACTTCTGCACAAGAAAGATTGCATGGAAGGAGATGGGAGGACCATTTTCATATCCAGCAATTGTCTTTGTCGCTGAAGAATAGGACATAAGCATGCCCAATTGGTCTGGTGTGGTTTTTTCTTTTTATAGTTAAGTGTTTCAAAAGGCTAATGGACTGAAAAATCCCATTGGGGAAATGTTTAATACAAATCAGAGTCTTACTTTCTCTACATAGTTTTAAGAGGACAGACTAGCCAAACAGAAAATAAAATTCACTACTGTTATATTGTCAATTACCCAAAAAATATGATTACACTTGTCTAACTTGTCTAGTCGAGCTGTAACTACTATTAACGACACAGAGGCCATATCCTTTTATTTATTTAAAAGGCTAACACCAATATAAATCTGATTTTAACTTTACTTCTTGATTTGTAACTATTAAACTAATATATAACTATTTTCAGGCAAAAAAAACACAAGAAATGCTAAAATATTAAATCCGGCTGACTTGCCAAATTAATATAAACATAGTGTTACACTTTTTTAAAGTAATTAACTATTGAAATACATTTTCTTTCTTATATACAATGAATTCAACTTTGTGTTGCCCCTAGGGGGCCGAACAATATCATAATAAACTGACAATACAAAACAAACTCCACAAAGCTACCTTACATGTATGAGTTTGATGCAGCTAATTTCCCATCTAGCAGACAATGAGCAACATTTGAAGTACCATTTGTATAAAAAATCTATAAGCCTAATATTTATTGACCGTTTAGATATTTCTTGGTCTCAGTCATTGTTTGAAATATCTGGCTCTTTTTGTGGATTTGTGCACATATGTGTTCAAGGACTTGAACCATAGGGTTGCCGGTTCAAGTCCCCGAACAGACCTAATTATGGAGTGTGGACTGCCACTTGCAGCTTCAGGTTCCGCAGGCCGACTCGGCTCAGGCTAGCACCTTCTTCAGGCATAACCCTCCCTGTCACTCCCACTGTTCCTCCTTCAGAGGAGTACCTGAGGGAGCTCCATGCATGCTGGAGAGACACCAGGGCCCTCTCCCACTCTGCTGCCATGCAGGATCCGGCGAGGGTGGGCCTGGGTTGCTTGCCATCCATTGAGCCTGCCATCGCCTCCCCGATTCTGGCTCCTGATGCCCTCGGCCTCAGTGCAGGGTCACAGACGAGCTGCTCTGTAAGGCCTACGACACAGCGGCACGCACAGGTCGTAACGGGAACTCCCTCTCCCATCTGATGCTGGCTGTCTCTACCTCTCTGCAGCAGGCTCCGGCTGAGCCTTCTTTGCTGGGTCTCAGTGATGCATCACTGTAACGGCCCGTCCACACGGCGGCGTGCGCCCCCCCCCCCCCCCCCCACACACACACACACACACACACACACACACACACACACACACACACACACACACACACACACACACACACACACACACACACACACACACACACACACTTCTCCCTGGACACTGTGCAATAGCTGCCCTACTCCTAGTACTATGGGTTATTGCTGTGCTGTGCATCTACATGTGTATGATAAATAAAGAGGGTTTATAATTCTAATATCCAACAACATCCTCTTACGTTTTACTGTCAATCAGGTTTTCCCTAGAGAGCTATCTAAGGCAGGTTGACAATACCCTGCTTTTCCACAGTTTGACATATTTTGTTTCTTTGTCACCTCGGAAACAACATGGTTTTTGTAGTTTTGCCTCCAGCAGAATCACATACACAAGTACTTGACAACCTAGTGGCTCAAATATAGGAGTAACACACTGAGCTTTACTATTTCTTCTTTCTCCTCACTCAAACTGGAGTGGAACCAACAGATATTGATGTTATAGCCTCATTATACTCTTAACATTGACTTCTATTAAAAACCCACAGACAGAAACATCACGTTATGACCTATGACTATGACATATTTAAGAATAGAAAGTGAGGAAAAAGCATATTTCCTTCTTTCTGTTATATGGCGTCCGTCTGATGATTAGGATATTTTAAAACTCAAACAACAAGCTTTGTGATTGTTATTCCTCCTCTAAGCACCATAGACTACTTAGCCATTGTTACTAAAGCTATTCTGAGACTCATTTGCATTAATCAGGAGTTTAAAAAAGATTGCATGGCACTTATTACACATGGGGCACTGCAGGCAAACACTCACAAAGCACACACAAACACTGAATACTCTATGATATAAGCTGGTAAAATATGCAAAAATCTAACGCGGTCTTGCACACAGAGAATGCAAATCCAAAAAGATGGTTAAAAACTGAAGTGTTGTAATGAAAGCCTGACCAACCATTTATTTTTTAGCTAACCCTTATCATTTTCAACAAAGCTGAGGAACATTTACCATTCTGCATTTAGACATCCATCATTCATGGGTTGTATAACCTTTTACTTCCTACAGTTCTATAAGTGTGTTGAGTGCTTCAGCCAGTCGTCTTTTTGTCTCAGAAATGTTTCTGCTCAATTGGAATCACCGGAAATGTAATTTACCATAAGCTCGTAATCTTCAACAATTCATTTTAAGTCAGAAATGTGTTACAGGCTCCCTTCATGTGGTGGAATCAATAAGTAGGGAAAGAGATTTTCACTAAAGAAATAACCTTACCTTGGTCTAATAAATGAGCTTAACCCTAATCCATGATTGTGTCAATGGCAGGATTTACCACTTAGTTTCTAAACAAGCACTTGGACAACACTCCGTGTGTGGTTTGCAATGAATCTTCTGTAAATATCACCAGTGCTGATTAATTCCTTAGTGTGTACAAAAGCATGGGGGCTTGTACCTTTTCTTCAGGAAATAATTGGCTGTAGCTGTCTGTAAATACATGGTTTAAATCATAACCCTCCTTATCAGCTGTTTGCCAGTCCTGCACTGTGTGAGAGGAAGGGGGAGCATGCAAAGCTAAAGCCTTTTTTCACATTGAAAATGATAAATGTCATAACAAACCTAGACACTTTAAAGAGTAAATCCTGGTAATAATTGTAGTGGAAATGTATTCGCCCATTATCTAGAGTGTACACCCGTTCTAAAACTCAAAAAATGTTGCTTGAGATACAAATGGCCATTAGCTTCCAGCTCCCAGGGATATCAAAGCGCTGTAATCCTCGGTGGAGATGTGTCCATCTGTTAATTGTTTTTATTTTACTATCCTGTGTTACTGGATAAGCAAAGGCAACCCGTAATCATCTAATCAGTCTTTGAACCAGGATAAAACAATAGGAATTGGAAGCAAAAACTGATTTTTTTAACACAGGAAAATTATATTAGTTTTTTTCTTTAGTACTCACTCATCTGATCTAATGTACTACAATAAATATGTATTAGTGCCTCTCAATCCCCACAGCTTTTGGCAAGTCCATTTGGATATAATAAGGATGTAAATAATTGTATAAACAGTAAGCCTCCCTTGATGCTGGAATTGCCATATAGACATGTTTTTCAAAATTAAGCAGACGGACATGTGTTTTATTGAATATAAATCACCTCACTTCTGAGATTAGAGCTGGTTCTTTTTGCATAACATTGAGGTTCACAGTTTGCTATTTTTGATTTTTCAGTCATATCAAATGGCTTTCATCATCAGTTTGAGATAACCCCCTTGTCAGTCGTGGAATTGCCCATGTTCAAATGTCCTTTTTGTCATGCATATATGCTTATAAAGGTTTGAAAGTGTGTCTATGACCTTGGGAAGTTTTGGTATTTCGATTGGAAAATGAATTGGTTTCAGATCATAAGGAAATGTTGGAATTAACAAATTTGCACCGCTGCTGTGTCCAATGGTTGGTTACCATTTATTTTAGTCACATGGTTTAAACTGGTTTGATTTTCACTATACATGCAGACATTTAAAAAAAACGTTAATTTACCTCCATATGTTCCCTATAATGCTTAAAATCACATCTGGGTAATTATGTCCCTTTTACAATAAATTCAAGATGAAGAATAGACCTATACGCAAAACGTTGACATTTTATTTTATCTTGAAGTGTTTCGAAAAATATTTACAGAATAAAAGAAGATTATAAATGGTTGTTTTTAGTAATATGGACACGTTTGCAGTGCAGGAAAGTGAATGGATATCCATGAAATCCCGTGCGTCTCCTGAGGGACCTGTGGGTGCGCTCTGAGGGTGTACACTGCAAAAAACGTTCACCCTTGCAAGGCAATTAATGCAGTATTGAGTGTGAACAGTGTTAGTATGTTGAATTATTAAGAAGTGAACACATCCTTCATTAGGTTACAAAACTGTCACTTCTCTTCTGTGCAAAAATACTAAGACGTTTGTCATTGTTGTCGATGTGTCATTTCCTTTCAAAGGAATCTGCTCAGGTATATGGTTAGGTAGGCTATAACCTGATGCATAAAGACGTTTTTATTAAAGAACCAAAATGTACCTGCAAACAGTGAATAAGTTAGATATATTGCCGCATTGTGGAAGAAAAATATGCTGTTTTGAGATAAACAACAAAATAAATAGACTTTGAGGCTCAACAGTTTTGCAACACGATCATATTTTTTGTAGTGTGGCTACTGCTGAAGTCATTCTCCGTCTGATACAACAGCAGCCAAGGACAAGGAGCATCAGCAGAGAGAGGAAACAGAGGAGAGAGAAAGGTGCCTCCTCTTGCCATTGCGATCACTGTATCGGTGTTGAATCCATGTCGGTGTGCATGCTGCTCTAATAGGAGGCTTTAGGAGTGGCGGGGAAGCGTTGGATTTAACTTCACACACGGACAAATCTATGCTTGGATTTCGGCTCTTTTTTCCTTCGCCAATGCAAAAGGAAATATGCAGCGAAGCTTCACCATTCTCTACACCAGTTTACTGGGGCTGTGCTTTGCATCAAGCTCAAGTTTTCCAAGTAACATCAATATAGGTGAGAATGGCGCACACGTCTCAGCTCTGAAACCTCTGTTTACCCCGTGTCTCTTGTTGTATTGTGTCCAAAATTAACTCCTGCTTCTTTCCTGCTCAACAGGAGGATTGTTCCCAACCGAATCACACGAATATGAGGTTTTTCGGTTCGCCCTCTCTCACCACCAGGACATCCCCAAACTGGTGCCGCAGGTGGATATGGTCTTGTTGGGGAATAGCTTCTCCATGACATATGCCTGTAAGTATTAAGGCTCCCTCACGTGAAGAAGATTACATTTGTTGGCATGTTCAATATGCTGTGTGTTCAGCCTGTTGTTCCGTCCCCTCAATCTGTGTATCGAGTTCGTAAAGAGCGCTTGGAACTCCATGGTTTAAAACCATGCGCATAATATAAACGCATACATTATAGATCTGCACAGATTTGCGTGTGTTATGAGGTTATGATCTTAGTAACTGTTGCGTGCCCACAACATGACTTATTTCCACTGCTTTCCTTTGCATGGTTGCAGCGTGATTTTGAGCGCTTGAGAATCCAAGGGGGTTTAAAACCAACCTCTGCAGCATCAGCATAGATCCTACAGTCATATAACATCAGGTTTTATATGAATTTAAAAAAAGGTTGAAAGTGATCCCTGTGCGCATTTCCTTCTAACCCCCGAGGTAGAAAACAGAGCATGAGCGCAGATCAGGGCTCTCAGGCGATGTGAACAAAGAGGAAAAAAATACTCTAAGTGCATTTTTAATTAGCCACGGATCACAATCTCTTTTTATGGCTAAACATACAATATGAAACCCTGTCTCCCTTAACAAAGATATTCGCACAGGCTTGCACATATTTAATCTTATCTTTCCGATTTGGTATAGCCTATGTATGAATCAGCTCATGACAGACAGATCTGAGTGACCTTAATAAATAATTATGAGTAATTTCAAATGAAATGTATGCCATTCTTGCAGTTGGATGCAATATTACGCTCAACAAGGAAGAAAAACAAAATCATGGCTCTGAGTCCTTGGTCAGAGAGTATACTGTTCTCCTGTGGTTGATAATGTGTGCCATTATGCCAGCCAAACAAAAAGTCCAAGTCAGCTTGACAAAATAAATGCCAGTCGTAATTGTTTCTTCTTTGTTAACCCTGCACTTATCCTTCCTTTGTATTCTGACAAGATTTTGTCCACCTGGAGGCTTTTCAGATCATTTTTCTCAATCCACACTCAACTGAATTTGCCTGTGGCTCATTCACACTCACTATTTTGAAGAAGCACACTTTCAAGAGATACCCTTTGACGACCGTGCTGTCCTGACACTGCCCGGTGTGCGCCTCAGTTATTTGATTGCTCTTTCAGACATTGATTTTAGCAGTGCTTCTTTACAGTTTTCCTGGATTTAAAAACAGGTCTTTATTCCATTTCCACTGGCTTGAATGCATGCAGCTGCAAAGCTGAATAGCTCAAAGAACACACGCAGTTATCTGACACAAAATACAGAAAAAAGGACATTCTGACTCTGACGTAAGAAAAGTCTTAGAACTCATAACCTTTCTTATTCGTCTGGTTTGGTATCTTGAATAATCGCATCTGGTTAGGGACCATAATTAAACATTCATAAAGGTTATTGAATACAGTCACCACACCAGTCAATGCACTCGACTAGTGCACCTCTTTCAAATATTTTAGCCCTAATAGTAAGCAAATACCTAATGTGTATCTACATAATGGCTAAATAAACACAATCATCAGCATATTAATAACATTTGGAACCTAAAGCCACAGGGTAGGTTGTATGGCTTACTGATTATAGGCACTGCAGATGGCTCCCCGATAAATGTGGGTCTATTTGGCCACCAACTTGTAATTGACAGCTCGACAAGTGCTGTCATCCGCGGGGTTGATATTTGTATCTATGTGGTCCTCATGATTTGTCAGTTGCTGGATTTTGCCCACGTTGGTGCCAACAAAACACCTTATTAGTCAGACTATGAAGCCAAGTAAAGATCAGAGGCCTCATTTATAAACAGTGCGTACGCACAAAAGATGGCGTACGCCAGTTTCTACGCACTGTTTGCGATTTATAAAAAACTAACTTGACGGGAAAATGCGCGGTCCTCCACGCAAACTCTGACCCATGCGTACGCACTAAGCACAACAACGGGAGGGAGGAGAAACTGTGACACCGTTGGCAGAAGGAAGAATGGAGAGAAATATGTGGAAATAATACCATAAATAGAATGTTACTTCTCATTTATCATATATGAAGAATTCATTTTCACAAATTGATTAAAGCCAATCTTAAAATGATTTAACGAACGCCTGTTTGAGACTCCTCAGTGCACACAAAAACATAACTTGGAGAAATAAATAAATACGGAAATGTTATTGATCACCCCTCGATTATGTTCTCTTGTTAAGAAATGTATTCTCATAAATGATGCGGTAAACAGGAGGACATAATTACTTTAAACTGACGCCGTTTTGCATTTCTATAGATTGTATAGATACGAGCATGGTTTATACTATCATGTCTAATCATGTTTTATGCCGTTCGCCAATAGCCTACTTGATAAGTCGCTCGTAAAACACAGGAGGTATGGAAACTAAGAACACCATATGTGGTAAATTGTACAGCTAATATAACACAACACATTAGTTGTATTTCCTTTAACTGGTGGATTATGGATATATAGTTGCTGATCGACAGCTGGAACACAAACCACCAAATACAAAAACATAATTCAGATCCAGTCGTCATGACTCCACTCCGGAGGGATTCCCCGATCATTTCTTACAGTTTCTCATCAAGGGGGTGTCTCCTGTCCCCGGTACAAACACACTGCCTGAGGAAGGTTATGTGTATTGTTTTTGTCATTAACCTTTTTCGGACCACTTATTTATTTATTTTGGTGACGATCCGACCTCCATGCTGCTACTCTGGTTCAAACGGCATCCACCAAACAATATGATTTATCTCCACCTCCCCAAAATAACCCAAATCTGACATGGTGTGAGATGTCTTTTTTAGCTGTTCTGTCGTCATTTCCTGCGATCTTCTTCAAAAAGTCAGTCAGAATGAATGAATGGGCGTTTCTTTGACTATTTATAGGCAAATATGGGCGTTACGTGAAGCCCGCAAAAGCTGCGCCGCATTTAGAGTTGATTGTGATTTATAAAGGGAAACAGGCGTAGGATGTGCCGTACGCAAGTCCTGTGCCGGTACGCAATCTTTTTTGAATTGGAAAATGTCTGTGTGTATTTATTTGCTTTGTCCTACGTAAGCAACCTTCCCACGCCAATCCTACGCAAGGCTTTATAAATGAGGCCCCAGAGCTGTCTTCATTACCTGAGCTAACTGGATGTGAGTAAAAGCAGCACATAGTTATAGATGTGGGATTGACTGGTGCTTTTTTGTGCAACCCTGGGTCTTCCTGCAAGGACTTTAATCCATCCATCATGGTGCTCTGTGACCAGATAAAGCTGAGGAGTACAAACCCTCTGCTGCAATGCAAAATACACTAAAGTCTCTTGTTCTTGACGTGTCAATGTTTAGGTTGAAACAGCATTGTGGCAGAAAACTCTACTTCACGGTCTGTTATGCATGTAATAGGTTTTCAGGAAGCCTTAGATCATCCCACAGGCATTGAATCAAGATCGTATCTTGGGTGGTAAAGGGGACAATGTACTCTACAGGGTAAGAAGAGCTAGTTAAAACATTGTAAATACTCTGTTTGGGGATCACGGTGTAATCAGTGTGGCAGTGCTGTTTAAGATAACATATACCGGTATAATATATATAATACAAGGTGAGTGAGAATTCATAGATATCTGTTTGTCAATGATTGATCTAAAGGTCAATCAAGCGCAGGTAGTTCTGGCATCTGCAGGAGGAAGGTTAGTTACAGATGGGTTATTGCTCAGCCACAGCTGTAGTTAGGAGATTGTGAAACCTTAGCACCAGGGATTGGGCCTCCTCTTCTAAACCAAAGTTCTAGAGATGGTTCTCCACATAAAAGTCATTAACGTCTTCTCCTGATTGGCTGTGATCACAAATATGCTTCAGTTGCACAACATCGGCTGCAAGTGGTACAAAATATATCCTTTATTAGATTCATTGTAACTGTCTGCAATATACCTATTTCGGATATTTGGTCTTGGACCGTGATCACATCTTCAGACCCATCTAGATTATGCTGATTAATAGGAAAAACCTTACTGACTCTACAACTTCCGAATGTCCTGGTACCATATCTTCAAAACTCAATAGGACTTTCATTGAATCAAGTCAACCCAACAGCACCAGAATAACAGACAATCAAAGCCATTCAAATATTTAATCTATGGTTAATGAACCATACACAACAGCAACAACAGAGAGTTCCAAAAATCCTCCAAAAACGGTACAAAACAAAAGGTTTTGCTCTTATCTCTTTGAGTGGACAGATATCCATATACTTTACACAAATTGCCCCTCACTTCATATTACTCTCCTACCTGTTAATAAAAAACACATTCAAGAAATTCAACCTGGCTTCATAGCGTGCGTCTTTTTTGCGGAGATGCATTTAAAAGCCACCAAGAGCTGCAGTAAAACATTTGGAAACCCTGACAGTCCCCCAGGCAACCCCACCACCAGCCCCATCCCCATCCCCTCCCTTCCCTCCCCTTCCCCTCAGCCATTTAGGTGCGGGTAGCCAGGCAGAGCTGTGTAATGAAATGTAAACACACCCAAGATGCCCTCATTAATGAGATGGTCCTTTGCTCAGAAGGGAATGTGATGTGAATTTGAGGGTGAGGCTGCGGCTTACGTTTCCAGGGAGGTTGCCGGCGGAAAAAAACATGGCGCAAATAAGCAGGAAGGGATGGGGGGGGGGGAAGGTGGTACATAATAATGTCACTGTCATGCACCTAATGGTGGGACAGAAGCATACATACAACTGGAACAATATGGTGATTTTGACTCAATTGGCTTAAAAGCACCATCCGTTAACTGCTTTTTGTCTTTTATTCAGTCTATTGGTATGGTTGCTAAAACAACTGTTTTAATTACCCACAAAGATATAATACCCATACTTCTGGAAACGTGAGATTGATTGTTTTATCAAGGATCAATGCCGATATTCTGGTTTTACTAGAGCTTAACTGGATCTATCCGCTGTCAGCACTACAGAATACCAAAGGGTTTTCCCAACACCCAGTCACCCCTCCCAGTGTTCTGCACGATGCCATCAAATCTGACATATTTTC